TAGGCGGCCGGCGGCAGGCAGTGGTTAGGCGCGGCAGGCATGGATAGCGCGCGCATGGCGGCGGCAGCATGGGGCGCGCCCTTTTTCTCTGGCATGCCGTAGCACGGCCCCGTGGAACAGACACCCAACAGCTCAGCGTGAGACTGTGGCCCCACCTGGACCCAGCTCATTCCAGCCCCAGCCTCTCTCACAGTCCCAGTCCCATGCCAACATTTGCCACTCCGATGGCCATGGTCTCCACATTTCAGGAGCTTGTTTTGAGACAAGCCTGGCTATCTGGAGCCGGTCGGAGGTCGAGGACTGGATGGCCCAGCCTGGTGGCTGTGGGCCAGCACCGCCTGTGGGGAGGGGTTCTCGAGGACCACAGGCAGAGCCACTGAGAGGGATTTTTAAGCAGGAGGGCCCCAGACGCCTCCTGGGACCCGCGGGCCTGGCTGCCATGCAGGGTCTGGGCAGCTACAGAGAGTAGGGAGCGAAGGCCGGCGCGGGTGGCTCAAGCCGTAATCCCAGCACTTTGGAGGCCGAGGCGGGCTGGATCACGAGGTCAGGAGATCAAGGACCATCCTGGCCAACACGGTGAACCCCATCTCTTACTAAAACTTTACAAAAAAAAAAAGAAAGAAAGAAAGAAAGAAAGAAAGAAGGAAAAAAAGAGTAGGGAGCTGAGTCCCTGGGTTGCCAAGGCAACCCATGGAAGCCCCTGACTTTGAGCAGGACACAGGGCCCTAAGGACAGCCCCAGCCCCTGCAGTGTGGTCTGCTGGGGTGTCATTCATTTTGACCTGGCTGTTGTGGTTTTGGGTGGTATTGTTTGTTTAAAAAGAAAACACATGGACTGCGTATGGCATGAGCAAGTACAGACGTCACTGGGATCGGCTAATGACAATGACAGAGTACTCTAAAGTGACACTTTACAGGGAGGCCGTGATGTGGGACCAGGCCCAGTGGCATCAGCACACCACCAGCTTGCTGGCATTTCCACTGTGGTCCCTGTTAAACCAGAAAGAACGAAAGTGTGATGGGGAAAAATAAGTATGTGTTTCTTGTAAAACACAGCTCATTTCAAAACTACAGAGAACAAGGTGACAGTTTGAAATTGGGCAGAGCCCCTTGGGACCAGCTGGACCAGGAGGGTCCAATCAGCTCTTCCTCAGGGCCAGGAATTTCTCAGTCACTCCCGGGCCTGGAAGAAAGTTTCCAGAACCGTTTTTACACAAATGAACTGCAGATCTGAAATCAGCAAGAAGGTTCAGGACCTGGGCCCACAGGATTGGAACCACAGGAGTCTCAGATCCTCAAACTAGCTGGGTTTGCTTCAGTTTTCTCAGGTGGGACGGGCCACCCTGGTTTCCCAGGGTGATGTCCCAACAGCGGAGGTGAGATGTCACAGAATGGAGGATGTGATATGATCTGTAACATGGAATCCAGCAGAAGCTCCAGCACTTAAAAGACAGGAAGCAGTGGAGGGCCTGGATGTCCCAATCTTCATCATTCCCTCTCCTGAAACAGTCCATGTCCTCAGGGAAGGTTCTCACTCCATGCCTGGCAGATCCCATGGAGATGCCCGGCTGATTCTGGAACAAGGGCTGGAAGATTCTTTCTTCGATCACTGCTGGTGGCCGGAGCTGGCTCACGAGCCTGGGGCTGGTCAGCTTCTGGGCAGTGGGAAGAGGTGGACTTTGGGTTCCTCGACCCGGCTCATAGCCCTGCTCCGACTGTCCCTGCTGGGCACCCCTGGCTGGGATGTCATTAGCCTGGGCCTCCATTTCTGTTTTCTTTTTTTTTTTTCTGAGACAGAGAATCGCTCTGTCACCCAGGCTCACTGCAACCTCCGCCTCCCAGGTTCAAGTGATTCTCCTGCCTCAGCCTCCCGAGTAGCTGGGACTACAGGCACGTGCCACCACGCCCCGCTAATTTTTGTATTTTTAGTAGAGATGGGGTTTCGCCATGTTGGCCAGGCTGGTCTTGAACTCCTAACTTCAGGTGATCCACCCACCTCGGCCTCCCAAAGTACTGGGATGACAGGCGTGAGCCACCGCGCCCGGCCTCCATTTCTTTATGGGGCAGTGTGTGGTCCCAGCATCCTGAAGTTGGTGTGAGGCGCAGGTGGGGCAGCTTTGGGGCGGGCCCCAGCGCAGAGGGCCCTGTGGCTGCCCCTGCCCCTGCGGCTGCCCCTGCCCCTGCATTCCTGAGCGGGCCACATGCTACTCTTCAGGAGTTCTTTTTGTTCTTTTTAAACCAGGCTCGACCGGCTTAGGGAAAAACAGGAGATGCCATGTACCATGCAGTTAAAAATGAAACTTCGATTAAATCAATATTGACTTCAGTACTGTACTGGCTTCCTAGAGCTGCTGAAATGCAAACTAGGGGCTTAAAACCACAGAGACGTGTTCCCCAACAGTTCTGGAAAGTAGAAGCCCAAATGCGTGTTGGCAGGGCCGAGCTCCTCTGCAAGCTGTGGGGAAGGACCTGTCCCATGCCTCTCCTGGCTCCTGGTGGCTGCTTGGCAAGGCAAGCCTTGGCGTCCTGTGGCTTGTAGACACGTCTCTCCAGGTACTATCGCTGCCTCCGTCTCCACGTCTTCCCGCAGCCTCCTTATAATGACAGCAGCCACTGGAATGAGGGTCCGCCCAAATCCAGTCTGACTTCAGCTTCATTTAACTGATGATATCTTCAAAGATCCTGTTTCCAAATAAGGTCACATTCTGAGCATCCGGGGGATGTGAGTTTTGGGGAGACTCGATTCCACCAACACCAGCATCGAAGAGGGCAGGGCACAGAGATGAAGCTGAGGCCCAGGGCGCACACACTGATGGTCACCCTTGAAATAACGGCGAAGTCGGGCCAGGCTGCTCTGAGACATGGGCAGAACAGGCACATCTCAATTGCAGGGGCTGAGGGGCAAGGGAGAGTGGAGAGGAGAATCCCAGCACAGCAGACACCCACAAAGCAGTGGGGCTGGGAGAGGGCTCCAGGATAAGGGGGACGACACGGGAGAGCACACAGCGGGGCGCGGGGCGGGGGACGACACGGAGAGCCCACAGCGGGGCGCAGGGTGGGGGACGGCATGGGAGCCACAGAGCGGAGTGTGGGGCGGGGGATGACATGGGAGAGCACACAGAGGGGGGCGGGGCAGGGGACAACACGGGAGAGCACACAGCGGGGCGCAGGGTGGGGGACGGCATGGGAGCCACAGAGCGGGGTGTGGGGCGGGGGATGACATGGGAGCCACACAGCGGAGGGCGGGGCGGGGGATGACACGGAGAGCACACAATACATCTCTGTTCATTATAGATTACCCACACTGATATTTTGTTAGAGCTGCACAAAGCAGACTAAGACAGGTAGCTAACATCTTACCAACTCACAGTCTACAGAGAAAGCACATCTTTTCCCTGATAGTTCCAGCCACTGTCCCAGGGAAGCCCTTCATTGGCCAGGTTTATGTCATGTTTAATCTCTGGAGGTGAAGAATTTAGGTCAGCACACCCAAATAATCTGGACTAAGGGCAGGAGGGGGTGGTTCTAGTAGAGAAGTGCTTATTTATTCTGAGAACTCTTTATATATTAAAGGCATGAATCCTTTACATCTTTCTTCCACGTTTTTTTCTTAGTTATTTGTCTCTGTGGGTTTTTTTTACAGGAGGCCAAACACTGCCTTGTGAGTGTGTCATTCCTGGAGCACATTTGCCATATAGCATCACTGCATAATAACGTCCAACAGGAGCGTATTGCCAGGACATATTCTCTGGGTGTGAACAAAAAAAAACAAACCTGTGGCTAGTACTTCAGTCAGCCAATTGGCATTCGAAAGCGTGTCGTCATTAGTACAGACGTCAGCGGTGAATATGAGAGCAAAGGACCCGTGGCTGCACCTAATAAAAGGCCGGCAGGGAGATACAAGCCTCTGTGGTTGTGCAATGATGGGAGAGAATGCCCAGGGTCACTGGTCCAGGTGCAGGTTCTGAGTCCTCATTCAATCTTAAAAATGAGATAAGGAATGTAACTTTGAACTCATTAACCTTTTGATCAGGCTATGAACTAAAGGCAAATAGAACAGGTGGCCTGACCCCTGCCACAGACTGGCACTGCCTGTGAGGGAGGAGCTCCCAGGTGGGCAGGGACCAGAGGTCAGTGGCTCGGTGCACCCTCCACTCGTGGGGCTGGGCCGGCAGTTCTCCCTCCCTCCTCTTCTCCTCCCCTCCAAGGGGGAGATTCTAAAGCCCCCAGGAGGATGTCCCTGGTAACACTGCTTCTCCCTTTTCGCGATCATGCCCCAGGCCATTGCCATGTTCAGATCCCAGGGTAACACCACTGAGCTGTGGAGGAACTCTGCTATGTGGCCATCCAGCCGTGGGCCCAGGGAGGACGCGTTCCTTTTTTGCACAGCTGGCTGGAGAACCTGCTGTGTGTCAGGGCCGGGTCTGCGGCTGGGACAGCAACAAAGTGTAGGGAGGGTCACGGGGCAACTGTGGCCCATGTTACTGCCCGGATGGTGCCCCCTGTCCTGGAAGGAGGCGTCTCCTCACAGCCCCTGCCCAGGAAGGAGGTGTCAGGGCTGACAGTGGCACCTGGGAGGTGACTTGGAGGTTCTGGGGTTGGGGGCCGACAAGGTGTGAACGGTTGGGAGATGGGCGAGTTAGAAAGGGGTAACCAAACAACTCAAGCATCTTCCCAAATGTCTCCAGGCATAAGAGGGTGTTGTAACATAACGACGTTGTGTGAGTGTGTGTGCACATCCCTCTGTGTGCATACATCTCTGTGCACACGTGTCATCTGTGTGTGATGTACACACTCACACATGTGCTGGCAGAGGAAGCACAGGGAGAGGCTCCCAGGCCTGAGTGACGTGAGAGACAGGTATGGCCCGCAGGGTGGCCTAGCAGGAGCTGGCCTGGTACCTGCCTGGCTCCCCGGCCTCACCCTCTAACCCAGGGTGCAGGCTCCAGCCACTTTCTCCAGGGCGGGGCAGGACACCCTGAGTGCTCAGTGGGCTTCCCGGCCCTCAGTCCCCAGAGGGTGAGGGTCCCCATCCTCCTGGGTGCCCCCGCGCCAGCTGCTGAGCCACATGGCCATGGACTGGGGAAGCAGAGTCCAGACTCTAGGGAGGGGTTTCTTTGTCATCTTCCAACTCAGGACCCTTGGGCCAATCGGAGCAGCTCAGCCTCATTTTCTCTCTTCTGCATTTCCTGTGTACTCGAGGGGCCTCCCGAGGGCTGCTCCCTTCCCAGATGAGGCTGAAGTAAACCCTGGCATGCAGGTCGGTGGGCCCCTGGAGGGGACAGGCCATGCTAAAGCCACCAAACCCCCAAAAGTGTGAAAGGATGAACAGGACAGCGGCAGGGGCGTAGCTGGGTGCCACGGAGGGTGGTGGGGGCCAGATTTGGGGAACGAGCCCCAGGGTGGGAAGAGCAGAGCACCTTCCCTACACGGGGAGGGTGCCCCCGTCTGCTGCACAGACCCGCCTGCCCGCTCCCTCCACGTGGCCCAGGGGAGCCAGGCCTGGAAGGATGTCGTGGGCGATGCTAGCTCAGAGTGGCTCCTTTTATGGGGAAACTTTGGAACTTCATCTGAGAAAGCCTTGTGCTAACCCAGGGCCCCGCCTCTGGCCAGGGCAAGACAAAGAAGCCATCCATAGTCTTCAAGACTGTTGCTCCCGGGACGTACCGTTTCCTGTGGGAGCTTCAGCACTCACAACTCACCTGGCACGCAGGAGGCTCCCATGCCACTCTTGTCGGAGGAGCTGATGGGTGATTTAATTAGTGAATTACTTAGTGAATTAGTGAATTTAATTAGTGAATTACTTAGTGAATTAATTAGTGAATTACGAGCAAATTAGTGATTTACGAGCAAAGAACCAAAATCTCTCCGTGTGTGCCCTCATGTGTGCTTGTGTATGTGCGCTGTGTATGTTTGTGTGCACTACATGCATGTGTATCTGTGTATGTGTTTTCTCATGCACACCTATGGATTCGGCTGTGTACAGATATTTGCTGTGTGCTCATGGGTATGCACAGATGCGTGCATGTGTGTCTGTTGTATGCATGCATGTTTGTGTTGTCAGGTGAATGCAGGCATTTACTCGTGTGTATGAGTTACTGTGTGCACAAGTGTGTGTGCACGTGTGTGATTTTGTGCTTGTGTTTGTGTATACAAGCTTGTGTGTACGTGTGTGTGTGTGGATCCATGCGTGTGCACATGTGTCTGTGTGGGTGGGTCTGTGTGTGTGCACACGCGTACTCTCCTTTAAGCTCACCCCTGGCCAAGCCTCTTGGAGCCCAGGGCTGCGCAGGTACTTTGTGGAGCGTTTAGGGGTGTTTCAATCAAGTTGGAAACGGGCTGGGGAGGGATGGATTTGTTGTGACCTGGGGGAACAGGTAGATGATCTCACACAGTTGGTCATCTACCGGGGCTCCCCTTGGAGGCAGGACACTGCTCGTTCACGCGGCCACTTGGCCCTGCCCACTTCCTCCACCCTGATTTCCCACTGGACTTGCAGGGATCGCCCCCAATAGATTCCGTCACCCAAGCCATGCGCCTGGGCCTGCCTTTGGGTGTGGATGGGGGGTGCCTGGCGGAGGGTGCTCTGAGCACAGGAGCGGATGCCCAGAGGGTGTGAGTCAGGCACTGTGTACTTACACTTGGCATTGAAGTAGAATGGACATCCCGGAAGGTGACATGACAGGGATTTTCACACCCACAGACGCTCACAAGAGAACTGCCCCCAGGGAGCCGTCCTAGATATCCCTCCAACCCTCCAGTCATCCCCACTCCCCCGGAAGCATTATCCACTTCGGGCACTTTGTGTGGCCAGAATGGAGACCCCTGCAGCTTCCTCATGTGGCACTTCCTCTGCCCACCCTCCCAGCTCCAGGTGACCCAGTACCTCCAGGCACCAGCCCCCAGCAGCACCACTCAAGGGTTCATGACAGATGGGTCTGAGCAGGGCAGAGTGGCCCCAAGGACTCTGAGCAGGAAGGGATTTAACACAGGGAAAGGGTATCACAGGACCCAGGACGGGCTGCAGACTCCAGGCGGGCCTCCTGGGAGACTCAGGCACAGAGTGCTGCCCCACCAGGCATCGTCACCACGGCAGCCCCCCTGGAGCTGTGCCGGGAGCATAAAGCCACTAGGGCCACTGCACTGCCACTGCCTCGCACCCCCGGAAGCTGAGGAACAGACCCGCACAGCCGTGACCACCTGCGAGCCAGATGAGCCAGGGGAAGCAGCCGGCCTGCAGCCACCCCCGATCCAGCACACGGAGAACATGGCAGGACAAGCTGGTGTCTCCGCGGGGTGTCCCCATTGTCCCCATGTCTCATACACACTTGCCTGACGGGTGGCCTTCCCCACATCCGGGACCCTGGCTGGAGTCTGGGAGGCGGCTGCCCACGTCCCGGCTGCCCCTGAGCAGGAGGCTGGCAGGGGATGCACAGTGAGTTCTCTCGGTGGTCGGCTCGGCCCCAGCCCCCTGGGTGCAGCGAGGGGCCCCTGCAAGCCTGTTGATGGCAGGTGAGCCGCGGTCCTCTCGTCCTAGCCGGCCTCAGGTCTGTGGTCCTCTGGGCAGGAAGTGTCTGGCAGGCCAGAGGCGGCTCCTGTGTGCGCCGAACAGCCGTGTTTACACGGGCGTCAGCTCGTGGCGCTGGCAGGGCTTCTGTTGCACCAGCCTTCGGCCCGCGTCAAATGCCGAATGCCGGTGCTGGGAACGGAAGTGGGAAATGACAAGGTTGGTGGGGGACAGGGGGAGCAGCCCTAATGGGGACTCTATGGGGGTGCATGAGGGTGCGGGGACTTGCGGGTGGGGGGCAGGGGGAGCAGCCCTGATGGGGACTCTACGGGGGTGCATGGGGGTGCGGGGACTTGCGGGAGGAAGCCGCAGAGGGAGGCGCGTGGATGTGTGTTTGTGCGTGACTGGGGTGTGAGTGTGCCCACTGTGTGTGTGGCTGTGTGCGTGGCGTGAGTGCAGGTGTGACAGTGTGTGGGAGTGAGAGCGGGCATGAGTGTGTGCCACGGGCCTGGTGTTGGGTCCTTGGAGGCCAGGGTTGCCCCGACGGGCCTGCAAGCTCTTTTCTGATTTGTAGTTATTTGAGAAGTCTATACAGGAAGAAAATTAAACCGCATTTACTAAATACAATAAAATTACAGGAAGGCAGAATTGTCCCCAAATGACAAACATGTGGTCCCTGAGTTGCTCCACAACAGCTCAGCCCCAGACCAAGGGTGGAGATGGCAGCCCCGAGCCCCGGGCCCATCTCCTGCTCCCCACTGAGGTGACACAGGACCCCCGTAAGGCAGGACCCCAGAGGCCCACACAGCAGGGGGGGGCTGTGTTGGGGGAGGGACCCCTGCCTGCTGTCCCTGCCCAGCCTGCAGTCCCACCCTCCCCGGGCAGCGGACCCTGGACTGCTTGTGACCATGGCCTCACTTGGAAAGCTGCTCTGGGCTGGTCCAAGCCTCTTCCCTCTTTCTGAAAAGCGTGAGGCCCACTAGCAGCGGGCAGCAGGCCATGGGTGTGGCCTCGGACGTGCAGGCCCAGGAAGGCCACCAAGGAGCAGGAAGGGCCGTGTCCTGGGATCAGAGCCCAGGCCAGAGACCCTCCCCAAGGCTGTCACCCAGGAGGGGCGATGATGGGAGGCAACAGTGGGGCCCAGGCTGGAAGGGAGAGGGGCCGGGCCTGTGGCAGAGTAAGAGCTGGCATGGAGTGGGCAGAGGCCAAGGTGGCGGGGTGGGCACCAGGCTCGGGAGATGCTCAGCCTCGCACCGAGCAAGGGGGGGCTCTGGGGCCAAGTGCCCGCTGCCTGGAGAGCAGGGCTGGGTCCTCAAGGGCCCCCTGCTTTTGGAAGTTGTGCGGCTACTGAAGCTGAAGCCCAGTCGCCCCGGCTCCATGGTCCCTGTCCAGACACCCAGCAGGGGGCCGCCCTGACCACCTACTCTGAAATCAAGGCATATCCTGGCACCACCTGGCCAAGAGCCCACACGGCCCCAGGGCATTCATTCTCACTGGGCAGGGGCAGCCTCTGACCCCATCCCAGCTCTGGAGGTGCTCGAAGCGCCCTCCTAACGCCAACTGTGAGCAAACATCTGTGTGTCGTGAGGCTGAGCACAGCCTGGCCCCTCCGCTCCGGCTCCTGGTGGCTGTCTGCCGTGTCCCCTATGGGGCAAGAGGTTTCTCTTTGGCCCAAGCCCACCTGCCCCTGCCTGAGGGCGCCCTCAGCCGCTATGCTCAGCGCGTCGGAAACCTGAGAGCTCATGTCCACGACAGGGCCAGCCAGCAGGGAGAGGACCCGGGGCTCCCCTGGGAGGCAGGCCACTCGTTCACGAGGCCACTTGGCCCTGCCCGCTCCCTCCACTCCAATTTCCCACTGAGCTTTCAGGGATCGCCCCAAATAGACTCCGTCTCCCAAGTCATGCACCTGGGCCTGCCTTTGGGTGTGGATGGGGGGTGTGGATGGGGGGTGTGGATGGGGGGTGCCTGGCGGAGGGGGCTCTGTGCACAGGAGCAGATGCCCAGGCTGCCCGAGGAGGGCAGGGCGTGACGACTGGGACAGCCGCGCCCCTGCTGCTTGGCACAACCAAGTGAAGACATGACGCCGGGAAGGGCCACGTGAGCTTGGGGCAGGTGGTGCCTGCGGAGGGAGAGGCGGAGGGAGAGGCAGAGGCTGTCAGCCTCTCCCCACCCCTGCCTCACCCGGCCACGCCCAGCGTCACCATGTCTTTCTTTGTGAGAACTGAGTCCACCGACCCCACCTTGTTTAGATTAGGTCGGAAGTCACCTGGGCTGAGCTGACGGCTGATTCCATCAGTGAAAAGAACCATGGAACATACTGCCCTTGGGCCGGTGTGAAGCCACCCACGTACTGTGAAAAATGGCTCTTCCCTGCCACAGTCAGCCCAGTGGGAGCCGGGTCAGGGCCTGGAGCCACAGCGCTCCCCACCAGAGCCACTGCCCAGCCCAGCAGCACCTACGGAGAATCCCACCCGCACCCACGCCTCCCCACACGCCACCACCCCGGCTTCCTGCAAATCCACCTTCGGAAGCCTGATAAGGTGAAGTCCACATTTAACTAAAAGTGAGTTACCGAGGGTTCTTTTCTTTGCAGAGTGGTTCCCCTAAAGGATTCCTTTAAACATGATCTGGTCAGCCAGTGCTCACCTATGTTCACTGAGTCGCGTCTGTTTGGGGCGGCAGGAGCCCAACACTCCAGGCACCTGAGGGAGGGAAGATGCTGGGTGCGGCCCTGCTTTCAAGACGCTTTGTGTCTTAAGCAGGTGAGCAGACACGCACACATTTGCTCACTCAGTTCCCTGGGGTAGCACTGATGGGCAGGGGAAATACACCAAGGGCCAATCGTGTGGCACTGACTCGCTGTCCCTCTATTGTATTTTATAGAGACGGTCTCACATTCGCCCAGGCTGGAGTGCAGTGGCGCAAGCATAGCTTATTGTAGCCTTGAACTCCTGGGTTCAAGCCATCCTCTCACCTTAGCCTCCCAAAGCGCTGGGATTGCAGGCGTGACTGGTCTGGCCGGCACCAACTCTCAACCACGCTGTCGCAGAGAGCAGGGCCCCTGCTTGCTGCTGGATGTCACCTTTCAGCCCTGAGAGTCTGCGGATGGGAGCCGGCAGCTCTCCCGTGCACAGAGCACCGCAGGAAGCATGGAATCCGGAAAGAGCGAGGGTGCCGTGCGCAGACTTCCCGGCGGGCGTCAACCTCCTGTGTGGTCAGGAGTGCAGGCGCTGGGGCCGGAACCCTGGGCACTCGACCACAATCCGCCGGGGCAGTGTGGCCAAGTGGGCACGTGTCCTGGGGCTCCCGCAACAAGCCAGGTGGCCTCAACAACAGATACTGATTCCCTTACAGCTCTGGGGACCAGAAGCCCGAAATTAAACCGTGGGCAGGGCTGTGCTCCCTCCAGAGGCTCTGCAGGGGGGTCTGCCTTGTCTCTGGCAGCCTCTGGTGTCCCAGGCGTTCCCTGGCTTGTGGCTGCCTCCCTCCAATCCCTGCCTGGCCCTCCCATGGCCTCGGCCCCTCTCCATGTGGCTCTCCCTGAGTCTTCTCTTCTCTTGATAAAGGCGCTTGTCCTTCACATCAGACGCTGGTCCAGCCGGACAGCCCAGGATGATCACGCCGCCGGGTCTTGACCTGATTATATCTGCAAAGACCCTTTTATCAAATAAGGTCATCTTTACAGGTTCTGGGACACAGATCTTTCTGTGGAGACACCATTCAACAACGAGGGGAAGCCACAGCCAGACCCCCTCCACTCAAAGTCTTACTGCTTCCTCACCATGCTGCCCACCACATTCCGTGTCTACAGAGCTGGGACAGTGGCGGTGCCCACCTCAGAGGTCACCGTGCAGATTAAATTCATCCCCAGACACGAAGTGCTGGGTGCAGGCACAGAGAGCTGGAAGGAAAGGTTTCCTGTGACTGTGTGCTCCTTCTGCCCTTGGCTGGGGGTCTCTGCTGTGCTCGGCGTGGGCAGTGATGAGGATGTCACTGGGTGCACAGCTGGCCCTGCAAGCTGCCCGGACCCCAGGCCTCCCCTCTTTCCAGCCAGGAGATTGTGTGCTCGCAGCCTCTCAGGGCCACAGGCGCACAGTGGTCGCTGCTGCCGTGTGCTGATTTGCTGTGGAGACTCCACTGGGGCCAGGCTGAGCAGGGCTCCCCAGACACATCCGGAGGCTCCTCGAGAGGGCCGCGTGGCAGGCACAGGGTTGAGGGGCCTGTGTGGCAGGGCCACAGCTCACCTGGGAGTGCAAGTGGGAAGCCCCCACACCTAGCAGAGTGCAGCTCCTTCCCGCACAGCCACCTGGGCTCCCTGGCCTGACCCCGCAGGGCTCTCAAGAAGAAATGGGGGCTTCCCCTCCTCCAGTCTCACCGTCAGTCTCTGCGGTGTCTCCACCCAGCACCTCCTCCTCGGATGCCTCACAGTCACAGGCCCTGGTGAGGAGGGAGCCACGGCAGGCACAGTGGCTGGAACAGGGGCAAGTGAGTGCCCACCCCAAAGTGCAGGCAATGAACTTGTGCCGTAGCCCACAGTGAGCTGGGGGGCTGGTTGTGCCCACCCCGCCTGATGCGGCCTCTTCATCCAGAGTGGGGGTGACATGCCAGCCCCCACCTCACCGGAATGCTGGGAGGAGCGTGTCCAAGGAGGGAGCTCACTTTGTCAGCTGCAACATGCTGTGACTATCGTGTGACTTCCCCGGTCGCTGTAGCAAGTCCCCCAGCCTGGGGGCTTCAGCAGACACGGCTCTCTCACCATTCAGGAGGCGGAATCCTGGGTCAGGGTGTGGCACCACTGGCTCCTGAGGCCTCTGTCCTTGGCTCTGTCTCCTGCTGCTGTCCTCACAAGGTCATCCCTCTGTGTGGGTCCGTGTCCTCATCTCCTCTCTGTATAAGGACACCAGGCAGATTGGGCCAGGGCCACCCCATTAGCCTCATGTTACCTTAACCACCTCTGCGAGGACCCCATCTCCAAGTAAGGTCCCTTGCGGAGGCGCTGGGGCTTAGGGCTACAGCATACAGATCTGGGGGAGACACATGGTCCCTAACAGTATCGAGAGTGGGTGGACCCCCACAGGACAGCCGCCGGGGGGAGACACGCGGCCCATGACAGTATCAAGGGTGGGTGGACCCCCACAGGACAGCCGCCGGGGGGAGACACGCAGCCCATGACAGTATCGAGGGTGGGTGGACCCCCACAGGACAGCCACCGGACATTTCCTTCTCTGCTGGTCTGAAAATCACACTGTCTTAGACAGGGAAGAATCAACATTTCCACCCCAGGCCGAGGCCCCCAGAGCACACAGGACCAGAGGATCAAAGAGCAAACGTCACCCTCAGGGTCTAACGTGCAGGTGGCAGGACCCCGGCCCTTCCTGAGGATCTGGTTGTGGGTTTTGTCTCCGCAGCGTGCAGGGATGGGTGCAGACTCCATCCAAGGTCTTGGCAAGAAGAGAAACTGCCACCGCAGAGGGGCTGGCTGAGGGGCTGGGATGGACACTCCGGGGTGCGGAGCCGCACACCAGCCCCTTCCACCCAGGCAGAAGGTCCATTGCGCTCTGCCCCGCAGCCTGCCTGTTCCTATGCCAGCCAGGGCACTCCCAGGCCCGTCTGCAGCCAGAACACAGCCGGTTCCGTGTGCTTGTCCTCAGGACCCATTAAGAATGAATCCAGGCCTCGGTCCTGGCCTCCTCGCTGAGGCTGGACGCTCAGGCATCCCCTTCAGCCCCTTTCTCTAGACCTTCCTGCTGAACAAATGAAAACATCTCACAGCCCTGCAACAGCCAGGAGCTGCTGGTGGAGCTCCATGCCCGGCCGCAGAGAGAGGAGGCGCCCTGGGCAGCCCGCCAGCACCCGGGCTCCCACAGCGGAAGCGTCTTCTTCGGCTCTATTTTGAAAGCTGTTCTTTCCACAGTGCCTTTGACAAGAATCGATTTGAGTGAGCCAGCGTGTCAATACAGGCTAGCACAGGACTGGCCTCAGGGCCACATTGGGGCGGGCGGCAACCAGGCCCTGGCTGCAGCCCACACCGGCAAAAGCATGGCCAGGCAGGAGGTGGGACCTGTGAGGTTGGCTACAGCGACCGTGGGCGCTGGGTTCGGGGCTCCTCAGCCCTGAGAGGGGACCCAGGCCCAGGCGGGCTCCCAGCCTCCAGATCTTCTCCCCTTGAGACCTCGCCTTCTGCACAGCGACAGCAAAGAGCCCCTGAGTCCCACTCTGCAGGGATGTACTGCATTTCCAGAAAGTTCCTTCCGGGTGCAGAGTGACACGTGAGCCCTGGGGACTCGCTCCGACTTGGTACTGATTTTCTCCACGGAGGACCCCCAGTCACGGCCCGTGTCTGCACAGCCCCTCGGATCCCGCGGAGGAATTCAGCCGGCCCCTCCCCCGTGCGGTTCCCTGCTGTTCAGTCCGAAAACCATGGAGGCAAAGTCGGGCCGGGTTCAGGCTCCATGCAAAGTGCCCTTTGCAAGGTCCCCCTGTGGCCAAGCCCAGCTCCATGAGGTCAGGAGGCCGGGGTGGGGAGGCCGCCTGGGTGCGGGGCCGAGTGGGGAGGCCACGTAGGGGGGTCCCAGGTGGGGAGGCCGCCTGGGTGCAGGGCCGGGTGGGGAGGCCGCGTGGGGGGGTCCCAGGTGGGGAGGCCGCCTGTGTGGGGGTCCAGGTGGGGAGGCCGCCTGTGGGGGGTCCCAGATGGGGAGGCCGCCTGTGTGGGGGTCCAGGTGGGGAGGCCGCCTGTGGGGGGTCCCAGGTGGGGAGGCCGCCTGTGTGGGGGGTCCCAGGTGGGGAGGCCGCCTGTGTGGAGGTCCAGGTGGGGAGGCCGCCTGTGGGGGGTCCCAGGTGGGAAGGCCGCCTGGGTGGGGTCTCAGGTGGGGAGGCCGCGTGGGGGGGTGTCCCAGGTGGGGAGGCCGCCTGGGTGGGGTCCCAGGTGGGGAGGCCGCCTGGGGGGGGTCCCAGGTGGGGAGGCCGCCTGGGTGGGGTCCCAGGTGGGGAGGCCGCCTGGGTGGGGGCTCCCGCCAGCGTCCCTCCCCGCTCATGGAGGCACAGGGACAGCTGTGTGTGCCTGCAGGGAGGCCTGGCTCTGCCCACTCGCCTAGCAGCGTGCTGAGGAACTCGGGCTTTGCTTTCTAGGGTACAGTGAGAACACGGGAGAGGACTTAGAGACTGCCTGTCACCGCCGAGGGAGGCGGAGCGGGATTCGCACCCCCGTCATCGCTGGGCCCACACGCCGCCGACGGCTTCCGCGTGTGGCCATCTGTCTCTCAGAAACCCTCTGGCAGAGGGACCCAGCAGATGACTCGGGGGCTGTTCACACTCTGAAACCTGCTTGGAGTCAAAACACTACTGGAGAGCCTCCGCGGCAAACCCAACCCAGACAGTCTTCCATGGTGGCCCCCGCAGTGGCGGGCACTCTGCCCACTCCCTGCCAGCCCCTGCCCGCTGGCCTCCAGGCCCGGCCGGGCCCCTGACCAGTCTCCTGACCCAGCATGCTGCTCCCCCTTGGGCCTGGCTTCCTTGCCAGCTGGGATTCCCAGGCCTCTCTAGCCCAGCCCTGCAGCAGGAGCCCTGAGGGAGGCTTGGCAGCTGCAGAGGCGAGTGGGCCACGCGTAGCCCGGAGGCCAGCAGGACTAGGAGCCCCTCACAGCGCAGCAGCCACAGCATCACAAGCCACTTCCACTCCTGGGCGACCTGGGGGCCCCCATCCCGGTCTGAGCTGCCCCTTATTGTGACCTGGGGCCCCCTGTGGTGGGCTCCCCTGGTGCCCCCAGATCCAGCCTCAGGGAGGCTCCAGACACCGGCCAGGCCTCAGCGCCTCCACCCAGGATCACACACTCCTATCTCCGCACTTCCGCCCTCCATCCTGCTCCATGCCGCCTCTGCTTGTTATTCCAGCACATTCCGGGGCGATGCCTGCTGCAGTGGCGCAGCCAGTACCTCCACCCTACCCCCTACATGACCCACCAGCCCCTCCGCATTCCCTCCGCTCTGTGCCCTCACTGACTGGAAGCCTGCCTGGCCCGAAGGGTCCTCACCTGGTGAAGGTGGGGTGTCGCCCTCACCTCCCTTCCACCCCAGCCCACCTGTGACTCAGCCCCGAAACCCTCACAGCTCTGTCCTCCTAGAGGGAGCCGGTGACTTGGTTCTGATGGTGCCTGGACCCAGCCCCGGCATGTTCAGAATCCTTGTCCTTTAACCTGCCTCCACCTGTGGTCGCCTCTGCCTCCCTGCCTGACCCTGCAGGCCCTGCGGAGCAAACACTGCTGCCTGCAGGAGTCCCCTGGGGCCCTGAGGAACAGAGACCCGAGCCTCCTGTGGCCCCAGCGAGGTTTCCTCTGGGGGAGACAGTGAGCCCAAAGCTCTGGCTCTCGAGGGGTGAACAGAGTCCGGCTGGCATTGACGGGGTGCCCCTCTACCGGCTTCCACAGTCCTTGAGAGCAAAGATGGTCCCAGCAGTGGAGCAGAGGGCATGGGTGGGGCATCCAGTCTCCAGGGAGCCACTGTTGGGTAGGGAGGAGCCCGAAGTGGGCTCCGGACCCCCGCGGGGAGCATGTCCCCTTCCAGTGGGGGCGGCTGGTTGATCTGGGCACAGGGGCAGGAGTAGCCCCATCTGGTGCTGACCTTGAGGCCGTGCCTCTCGGGGCATTTTGGCAGACCCGCCTGGACCTGGGCGACAGCCTGATTTCCTGCAGCCGTGACCCACAAGGGTGGCAGCTCTCTCTGTCTTGACTTACCAGGACACAAACCCAGGCCATTTAATGTGCAGGCAGCCCCAAGTCCAGGCAGGGCCAGAAGCAGACTGTGGCTGGGGACGAAAGCTGCATGCTGGTCCCTGGGGCCCCGCTCACTCTGAGCTCCTGAGAGGAGGGAAGTCCCCACGCCCCACTGGGTGGAGTGCTCCTTGGCCTAGGACCCCGTCCCATGTCTGCTGCCGTGGGGGCGGACTCTGGGCAGAGAGAGGCCAGACGGGCACCCAGGTGAGCTGGAACACATCCCTCCTGCTTCCCCCAGGGTCCCCAGAGGCGACCTCCCTCCTGCACAGGCGTCTGTCACCCTTACCCTCTAGGACATCTTTGCCATGTGCAGTGAACCCCTGGACAATGTTGCGTGCCACATCGCCGGATTTGGGCTGTATACAGACCGAAGCATGTGGCATGACGCCTTCTGCTGTCAGTGAGTTCCTTGTCCCTCGATAGTATGTGTCCAGGCTGCCCTTCAAGGTGGCAGTGAGGGCAGTTGTCTCTTGCACGCTGTGTACAGTTCTGTCACTGACCCTTACACACAGCCCTGGAGACGGGAGAGCGTCGGGAGCATTCCATGCAAGTGTCCTGGCATGTGCGGGCATCTCCATGGCACAAACCCGAGCCAGGGACCACCCCCTCCCCTGCTTCCATGATTCCACCAACTGGGGGGGCAGAGCCAGGGCTGGAGACACACCCCGGGTGACAGCAGGTGGCCATGACGGTGAGTGCACGCGTTCTCAGTTAATTTATCCTAAATATTTGTAAGTTTCTTGATTATCGCAGTTGCATCCCCAAGATAATGCCCCCCTCACCACGTAGAAGGCACATGTGCTCTGAGGGCCCCTCCCACACTGGGGTCAGGGCACAGCACCGTAGCGAGGCGGCGTGGGGGCTCAGAGGACCTCGGACAAGGCTGGGTACATGGGGCTTCTCCAGCCAGCCAGGAGGAAGCACCCTGCAGACTGCGAACTTTTGCAAAATAGAGTAAAAAAGAACAGCTAGAAAAAGAAAATGAAAAAGGAAAGATATACCAAATACAAGACCGTTTTTATTGTTATATTTAACAGTCAACTCACTTCGTCTGAGAGGCGTTGGCATCTGTGGACACACTCGGTGCTGAGGTTTGTCCCACTGCGGGCAGGGACAGGTGGTTCTCCTGGGGGGCTGGCCTCCACCCGCTCTGCAAGGCTGCACTGCATGGGACACTGAGGCACCCGTCGGCCGCTCACTGCCTGGCTGCGTCTATGAGGGATGAAACAAGCTGGGCACCAGCTCAGCCTCTGAAGACCCCATGGGTACCCTAAGCCATGGTATCTGTCCCCGAAGTTCCTTTTGGGTGGGAGTGCTGGGGGTGCAGGGACACAGGGTTCCAGTCACCCAGGGCCAACCCTGACCAGACGGCAGGAACCAGGGTCTGCAGCTGGATGCAGATGGCAGGCAGATCATTCTGGGGAAGTCCCTTTCTTAAACCACATACTGTCCTGGGCTGAACAGGCCCCCCTAAAAATTCATGTCAACTCAGAACGTCAGAATGTGACCTTATTTGGAAATAGGGTCTTTGCTGATGTAATCAAGTGAGGGTGAGCTCACACTGGAGTATGGTGGGCCCTCGTCCAATGACAGCATCCTTGTAAGAAGAGGGAAGTCAGCCCCGCAGACGCAGGGAGGACAGCCACGTTTCAGTGGAGGCAGAGACTGGAGCCACATAGCCGCAGGCAGAGGGATGCCTGGGGCCACCAGGAGCTGGAAGAGGCAGGGAGGACCCTTCCCTCGGGCCTCCAGAGTGGGCAGGAGCCTGAGGATGCCCTGATCTGATCCCTGATTCCAGCCTCTAGAACCGTGAGAGGCTCAGCATCTTTCTCTGCCCCCCAGCCCGTGGCCTCTGTCAGGGCAGCCTTGGGAGCTGAGCCTGGCCCCTAATTCTCGGGAGCTCTCCCACGGACGGGGTTCTCCATCTCCCGAGCATGTCTGAAGTTCCCTTTCCACTGCTCGCCAGGCTGATGGTGACTGCCACCTTCCCTAGGGACCCACCCTCTGTTCCCAAAGGCCCTGCTGGACACCCGGCCGCTCAGCCCCACCCCGCCTAGCCCGCACACCCCTCATGTCTTCTCTGAACGGGGTCTTCCCTGAACGGGCCTGGCCTTTCGGTGGGGAGGCGAGGCCTCCACTTCAGAGCTGGCCCCTGATTGCTCTGGCATTTCAGTGACGCTGTGCCCCAGACCGAGGGAAAACTCTAGAAAAACTCCCCACCAAACTCCTCTTCTGCAGAGTTGAGGGGACGGGAAGTCTGTAACTTTCCTGCAAACGTTATTCTGCCCCTGCCAGGTGGGCTGAGATGGCAAAGGTTGACGACAAAGGTCCTGGGAGTCCCCACAGCTGTGGGGGAGGGTAACTGGCACCCCCCCACCCAATGGGGAATAGCAGCAAAGCTTCACACAGTCCCCAGGGGCGGCCTCTGCCGCTGCGTGCAGGTCCCACTGGAGCCACGTGAAAACCACAGAAAGACAAGCTGGAGTCACCAGCGCCCTCGGTGGAAAGGACACCCCGTGGTGTCTCCCCCTCCCTCCCTGCACAGCCAAGAAAAGACAGGGCCTGTGCACCCCAGCAGCAGAACACAGTCCCCAAGATCCCCACAGGCTGGGAAGTCAGATCAGAGGAGAGGTCGCCGCGGGGTTATGACTCTGGGGAGTCCCTGGGGGGGAACCAGGGGCTCCCTGTGGTGCTGGGCGTGCTCTTGGGGAGACTCATTGACACGCATGGTGATGACACGGGTGTAGACATGCAAAGAAGACCTGAGCATAAGACAGGATTTGTGTCTTTCATGGTATGTCAGCTTTACCCCATTTTTAAAGACTTTCAAAAATGTTATTCTGGGCACGTGCTTTGAACAGACTGTAACCCCACACCAGGAGGACCTTGGATGTGGAGCTGGCAAGCTGGGGCTGCCCGGGGCTATCGTCTCCCTGCGGCTTCCTCTCCGAGAGGCTCCCGGGAGCAAAGCCGAGTCGGCAAGGCCGTCTGCCCGCTGAGCAGGTGTTGGCTGCCTGGGTGGCACTTCCTGTGCTGAGGCTCGGGGCTCTGAGCCCTCATGGCACACAAGGACTTAAGGACAGTGACCACACAGCCCAGCTGACCGGGGAGGTGGCCTTAGGAGGGAGAGCCAGAGGCCACAGAGAGTGCTCCAAGGTACACAGGGCCCTCCGTCTGGGACTGTAAGAACAAAGAAGGGTCTAGGGGAAGGCGACAGGGACAACCCCAGCAGAGAAGCGGAGGGAGGGGTGGAGACAGCACGAGATGACCGGAGACCACATGTTGGGTGGTGCTGGGGGGACTATGGGAAAGGGGGGCCTGGCGTGAAGACCCCCTGCCCTGTGGGGGTCCTAGCAACCCCAGAAGCCCTGCTAAGACCCTGGCACGGGCCCCACTTCCCTGAGACTCAGCTTCCCCATCTTTAAAGTGAATCAGCCTGGCGCCTGCCTCCGAGTGCAGTGAAAATTCGATTACGGAAGCCACAGAGGCGCTCAGCACAGCGCCCAGCGCAGGGCCGGGACCCAGAGTGGACTCTGCCGTGGGACTGCCTCAAAGAAATCTTAGCAAACACAGGAAGCCAGCCCACCCTGCAGCCATGGGGCCAGGAAGCCCGCCCTTTACCAAGTATTTGGGTATTTTTTTCTCTGTGCTAACAGCCCAGACGGAGCCACAGCCTCAACCTCTGTGTGCTGATAACACCAAGCTGGGGCGCCGGGGCCATGC